AGAACAAACAGAGGGTTACTGGAGGAGTTGTGGGAGAGGGGATGGGCTAAATGGGTAAGGGGCATTAAGGAGTCTACTTCTGAAATCATTGTTGTACTATATGCCAACTAATTTGGATATAAATTAAAAGCAAAATAAAAATAAAAAATCAACATGAGGTAACACCTTATATTTATTTACACAATGCTATCTGTCAATTATATCTCAATAAAGTTGAAAAGAAAAGATAGCAAGAAAAGTCACTGTGGCACTGTACACTAACCAAACTATATCCCTATTGATCTTATAACCTTAATAATGAAAAAAAAATTAATGTGCCAGGAACTGTCATCTATAAAAACTTGACATATAATTCTAAGACTGTCTCATAATTTCAAGTATGTTTATTTAAACATTATACTTTCTCTTATTTTGAAAAGAACAATTTCTCTTATTTGGTCCTTTTCATGGCACTGACTCTTGAGACCACAGATCATAGAAGTGATTTTAACCTACATTCTCTGCTTGATGCAAGTTGGGGTGAAGGTGGCTGGAAGGAGTGTTCCTCCAACACACACACACACCACAACACAATTTATTCCAGGAATAAGCAAGTTGAATGAGATTAGAAAGGGAAACATTAAAGTACCTCACAATTTAAAGTTACTTTACTTTTATTTATTTATTTATTTATTTTTTTAATTTTTGGGACAGAGAGAGACAGAGCATGAATGGGGGAGGGGCAGAGAGAGAGGGAGACACAGAATCGGAAACAGGCTCCAGGCTCTGAGCCATCAGCCCAGAGCCCGACGCGGGGCTCGAACTCACGGACCGTGAGATCGTGACCTGGCTGAAGTCGGACGCTTAACCGACTGCGCCACCCAGGCGCCCCTAAAGTTACTTTAATATGTACACTTAAATTCATAGTAAAACCAGGACCATAAAAAGACCTAACAACCTACCCCATGTGTCTCAGTTTCTCTTAACAGATTACAGAAAATGATCAGACACACTGCCATCTGTAACATGATATTACATGAACAGCACCGTTACCAATAGCTTATGCTTATTTAGACAGCCATACTTGGTACTGGAATTCTATAGTACCACTGAAAGTACAGAGAACTGGAATCTGGGGGATAAGAAAAGAGCTCCATACCACTCCCAGGACCCGGTTGTACCCATGTCCTCAACTTCCATTCAGTAATCCCAAACTGACAGCTTGAAATCAATCATGATGGGAATATTTACACATTGGAAAGGCTAATATTAAGGTTATTTTTCTTTTCCCTTTTTTTTTTGTTTCTTTTCTGGAATGCCAATAGTTAAATGTGTACCAGCTTACCTCTGAGTAAGTCAGTTCCTTTTTTACAAACTTGGCTGGATACTCCTTAGTGTTTTAAGTTTTTGTCTTTCTTCTCTTAATTTTACACATAAGATTTGGGAGAAATCATTCACTCCCATTAAATTCAACTATTATCTCTATGTTAGTGACTCCAAAATCATATATACCTCAAGATGTTGGTTAGCTTAAGACTAATCTTTACATAAATGTGACACACACACACACACACACACACAC